AGGCATAGCACCTAGAACAGTTTTAACAAGCACTTCCCTCCCTGCCTCACTCAAAAAATTGTTTTTCCAATTAGAAATTTTGGAAATTACACACTGTTTAACAAAGGAAAAAGTATCTTTATTTGATCTCCCAATTCCTAATGGAAGCCCCAAATATTTGGAGTATTTAGCAACTGCAATGCCTGGGAAAATATTACAGATGCTCATTTTCAAGGAATCAGGGGTGTTTTTGGAAAAAAATATACTAGATTTGTGGAGATTAACTGATTGGCCAGAGGCAGCACAATAACAATTCAAAATATGAAGGATCAACTGAGCTTGATTAGGATCAGCTTTACAAAACAATAGGGCATCATCTGCAAAAAATAAGTGAGATATAGGAGGAGAATGCCTACTGATTTTTATTCCAGACAGAGATTTAGATATGCAAGCTTGGGAGATAAGATTAGATAGGGCTTCTGATGCAAGGATAAAAAGGTAAGGAGACAGAGAACAACCTTGTCTAAGACCCATAGAAGGAATAACTTGACCTACTATTTGCCCCCCAAAATTAAATGAAAAAGAAGAAGAACATATACAGGATTTAACCCATCTCAAAAAAATATCACTGAAACCTATATGTCTACACACCTTAAACAAAAACACCACTCTAATCTGTCATAAGCTTTTTCCATATCCAATTTCAAAGCCATAAAGCAAAATTTGCCTTTATGCTTAGTATTTAGATAATGGACACATTCATTTGCAATAATGCAGTTGTCCAATATCTACCTACTAGGCACAAAGGCTGCTTGAGATTGAGATATGCAGCAATGAAGGACATTTTTCAGTTTATTTGCCAAAATCTTTGTAATCAACCTATAAGTAATAGTACATAAGCTAATTGGTCTATAATGCACAATGGTTTTTGGTTCTTTAATTTTGGGAATGAAAGTGACAACAGTATGATTGGATGCCTTAGGAATACAAGCAGACTGAAAGAAATTAGAAATAGCAAAGACCAAATCACCTTTTATAGTGTCCCAAGATGACTGAAAAAACAAAGGGGAGAATCCATCAACACCTGGAGCTTTGGCAGGATCCATGGCCCACAGTGCTTGTTTGATTTCATCTTCAGTCACAGGCTTGATGAGTTTTTGATTCATCTCAACAGTTATGGATCTTGGGATTCCTTTGAAAATTTCCTCATCACAGTCATGGTTCTTAGACTTAAGTAAGGTAGTAAAGAAATCCTCAACTTCCTTGACAGCCTCTGATCTATTTTTGCATTGTACCCCATTCCTACAAATCAGATAATCCAGGTTGTTCCTTTGCCTCCTCTGCCTTACACATGCCTGAAAAAACCGAGTGTTTTTGTCCCCTTCCTTCAACCAACTGACTCTAGATTTCTGTTTCCAGTAGAGCTCCTCCTCTCTGTATGCTTCATGAAGTTTTTCCTTGCACTCTTGCCACTCTTCCCAATTTCTCCCTCCCCCTTGTCTACTCAGCACTTCCAATTTTGCATTGCAGACATTAATCATATGTGCAGAATTTGTTTTCTGTCTTACAGCCCACCCCAACAAGGCAGTACTAACACTCCTCAATTTCTTTTGGAATCTGTATAAGTCTGGCCCTTTGTGAGCTACTTTCCATGCATTGGAGATGCACTCCTTGTATCCTTCTTTCTTGGTCCACCGATTATCAAACATAAACCTGGGCTTTGAAGCTTCCTCACTTCTGGCCAAATCCATCAACAGGAGATTGTGATCTGAGGAGGCCAAAGGAATGTTCTGAATCTGGGTTTTAGGGAATTTGAACCACCACTCCGGAGAGACACAGATCCTATCTAATTTCTCCTCTACAAATTCCTCCCCCCTCCTAAGATTAGACCAGGTAAACTGATGCCCTATAAGAGGACACTCTATTACCCCCAGGGATTGCAAAAAATTCCTAAAATCCCTGAAACTGCCCTCTCCTCTCACCAACCCCCCTTTTTTCTCTTCATTACAAATAATATCATTAAAATCACCCCCTATAAACCATAATTCCCCCCATCTTAATGAATGTCTAAGAAGCAGATCCCATTGATACTGTCTCTCAGAATCATCAACACTAGCATAAACAAAAACCCCCCACATAATATCATTTCTCCCATTAAGAACAAACTTGACTTCTAAACTGAAGAAATTATTAACTATTTCCAAAACAGAAACATTATTCGACCAACATAATAGAAGACCCCCTTTAGACCCCACTGGATCCACACAAAACCACCTAGACTCAAAAGGCAGATTTTTACAGACAGTAGTAATAAAAGCCTTTTTCTTTTTAGTTTCTGATAAAAAGACAATCTGGGAGGTAGGATTTAATCATATCCTTCAACTGGGAAATTGTAGAGGGTCCTCCCAAACCTCTACAATTCCACACCATAGCTTTCATTTGGAAACTTGGGACCATTTATAACTGGTTTCCTCCACCACATTATCAGTAAAATCAACATAAACATTAGCATTTTTAACTTTCTTAGGACCAGACTCAGACCCTACTTCAGTAAAATTCATACCCTCATCAGCCTTTCTCTTATGAGAAGCAGGAGATGGACTCTCCCCCTTACTAATTGCAGTAGTACCCTCAGTCTCCTCATTGAGGTTACTACCCCTTTTGATACCATTAGTAATTCTAGTAAAGGTTTTTGGTCGCTTAACCTGACCAACTTTAAGTTGAGCAGATTGCACAACCACCTCTACTAGATTACCATCCTCTCTTATTGTTCTTTTAGGAGTTTCCAACTCCATTGGCACAACAAAGCTAGATCCTTCCCCAGAAAGAGGATTCTGGTCCCCTGGGGTTTGAGATCCCCCATTGATAAGAAGATTATCCTTATCTTTTGGTCTAGGATCTTCCTCACTCCCAACACTCTTCCCCTTATCTCTAACAGACTCTAACTCAGGTTCACTTCCCCCCTTCTTACTAGTCCTCCCCTCCATATCCTGGTTTTGAATCATTTGGCTATTAATAGTCACATGGAGAGGATTACTAGGACTAGAGGACTTTCTGTCCCTGCTATCCCCATACCCACCCCCCAAGGCTCTCAACCAATCCCCATATTGCCCAGATTTCATAGCATTCCTTTGGATGTCCTCTTTTTTGATTTCACACTGCCTTTCATTATGTCCTATCCGTCCGCAGTAAAAACAAAAGGCCATAAGGTTTTCATACCTAAAATCGATCCAGTGTTCCTCATGTCCCAACTTGAGCTTAGTTCCTCTTGGTAACGGTTCTGAGACTTTGACTTCCGCCAGGATTCTTACTATTCTCCCGTTGAGTGATCCTGCCCCTGGAGCCACCACATCTACCACCTTGTGAAACAATCGGCCTATCTTCATTCCAGCCTCTGCAGATACCCAATGTAATGGCAGATTATGTATCTGTATCCATAAATCCACTGTCATTTCATCCTCCGAAAAGTCGATGAATCCCTTTCTCCACTATTTGACAAGTAGATATTGCCCGTCAAAAGTCCATGTTTTTCCTTTCAATACCCTTGTCTTGTCCTCTTCGCTCTGAAATATGAATTGAAACAGATTGGGACCTAGAACCCTGACTGAGAATGATCTCTCCAATTTCCAGGCTATTGCCATCGTGACTCGGAGACCCCCAATACTGGCTCTTTTCTCGCCCACAATTTTCCCAATTAAACTCAAAGAGCAATCCTCAATCCCCGTTTCAACATCCGCTTCAGATAATTCGACCCCTAACTTTTCTTTATAAGAAAGTTCGAATTTATGAAATTTATCGATGATATCCTGTTCCATAACTGTTGATAACGAATCGCTGCTCGATCGCACCTCGTGAATCCTCTCACAAGCACTGAGAACCCCTTCTCCCAGCCGAAAAACACAGGTTGAGATTGGACTTAGATTGATCCAGATCGGAGAACGACACCTAAAATAACGCTGATATTACTGGAAAGAGAGCAAAATATATGGAAAAAGAAGAAGATCTAATCAAAGAAAGTTCCACACTTGATGGAAAGAAACCCTAGAAAATGGACGGGGCTTCCACAGGAAAGTGGAATTAATTTTTGACAAAGTATCTGAGTCAACAGCGACATCAAATCATCACTTGGGATGTTTTTGAAAAAGAGTTGCTTACACGGTTTGGTACATCTGATTACCACAACTACAATTAGGCTCTCACACGCATACGGCAGACAGGCAGCCTACGTGAGTACATTAGGGAGTTTGAGCGGTTGGTCTGCCGCGTGCGTGATTGGCCCGAAGATGCGTTGGTCGGAGCGTTTGTAGGAGGGTAAAAATTTGACCTAGCTGCAGAGGTCCGACTAGAAAGGCCAGATACCATGCACGATGCGATGGAGGTTGCCCGACGATGCGAAGATCACCTGGTCGCTACGTGAAGGGGACGGGCGGATGTGCGATTCGCGGACACGCGACGCACGGGATCGAACCAAGCCACGGTCAGC